AAATATATGTTAAACTACAACTGATAAACTTTATTTTAATATAAAAATAAAAATTATTTCTTAATAAAATTATAAATCTTAATATAGAGAGAAAATTTCAATTTTTACTATATTTTATTAATAAATTTAGCCCCTGTGTAATTACTTTTGGTCATCACTGTATATATATATTTTAATATTTAAGAATAAAAAAATAATATAATTTAATAAAAAATCTTAGTAATATCTTTTATAAATTTAAATTAAAGTTATTTTATATATTGATTCCCATAATTATGGAATTAGAGAATGTCACCGCCGAACGAACTGTACATATAATATTATTAAAAGAACTGATATTTGTTACGAAAAAATTTCATAAATAATTTACCGTTACCATACAAAGCAAGGAATACAACAATTAATTCATGGCATCGATACTAGTATTTGAATTAAACCTCCAAATTATCATGATTCGTTTACAAAACCTAAAAAAAAGCTGACAGAACAAAATAATTTATCATCACTGTCAAACAATAATTGAAGTAGTTGAAAACATGACCTATATGAACCAATTAAGTTCCAATAAATAATGGCAAAAAGCAGTAAGTTCTAAAAAACTTGTCTACAAAGGTATTTTTCTATTTTTAACAATAAATGGTCTCATATGTAGGTGTGCATATGAAGAAGGTTTTTATGATAGGGATTATAGAGAGGCATGACTATAATATGGCAACGTTTGTTGATTCGTTACTATTTGTTGCATCCCATTTCTTGTATAAACTTTCAAGTAAGCTTCTTTTGAAAACTTTATCAACTATCTCGTTTTGTGAAGAAACAGCTGTTTATTTAATTTGCCGATTTTTTGCCCCTTTGTCCCGTGGATGATGATGATGATTCTCGAATTCGATACAATTGTTGCTGCTGCTGTAGTTGTGTGCTTTCCTGGTATATTTTGGCTTTACTGAATGTAGGACTTTGAAACTCAGAGCCGTTACTAACTTCTATATTATCGTCATCCCGTTCGTAATTGTTGTTACTCATCCCATTGCGAGGAGTTGATTGAACGGAATTTGCTTTAGGAATATTACTATGAGTAATGACGACAGACCATCACAACAATAGCCAGTGAAAGAAGGAGCTTGTTGAGTTAATAGCGTATCTTGCTGCATCCCCTGTTTCTTTCCTTTTGAAGAATTTTGCTTGATATCGAAGTCCATACCTTTACTATTATCATTATTCTGTGATTTTTTCCATTTCTCGTTTAAACTTTCATGCAAGCTTCTTTTGAATCTTGACCATATTGATCTCGTTTTGTGAAACAGCTTGTAATGGATCATTTACAGATTTCTTGCCCCTTTGCTCTGATGGATGATGTTCGAATTTGATTCCATTGTTGTTGTTGCTAGCGGCAGTTCCTGTTGCAACCGTTGTTGCTGCGTTTTTCTGATGTCTTTTGGCCTTTCTGGACAAAGACCTTGAAACTCATAACTGCTGTCAGTTTCTATATCTCGTTCATAGTTGTTATTACTATCTAAGAGTAGCCAGTAAGTGGAGACGGAGTTTGTTGAGTTGGTAATGTATTGATGTTTTTCAAAATTAGAAATCGTTGATTCAAATACAAATAATTTTCTGTTATGATGCAGTAGACACATCCCATCTAATTTGTTTGTGACAAGTGTATTTCAGAATTTGTAATGTTAGCGGCAGTGATTTTAGCAATAGCTATTGTTGAACTGGAATCATCGGCAAATTTTATACCGTATTTTCGAAGGAGATGTTCGTGATAGGATGGATGGCTCTAGACTTAATGTCTTTTCCGATTCGTTAGTAGATTGTCTATCTGAAGACATGTTTATGCATTCGAAACAAAACAAATAATTATTTAAACATTAGAATGTTCAATTTTACAATAAATTAAAGGAATAGCCGAATTGTGACGATTCGAGTGTAGTCAAAGATGATGGGTTGAAATCAGCGGTTGGGATTTCGTTCTTTTTAACATCTGGAATTTATATACCGAACTGTGCATATATTTAACGTTAATATGAAAAAGGATTAAATCCTAATAGAGAATGATATCTATTTATTTATTATTATTTTCTTAGGTTAAGAGAGGAATTTTATGGAAAGTTTATTTAAAAAGCTTTGTGAAAGAGCAATATTAGTGATGTGTTTGCTAGCTGCTCATATATCATTATTTTTGCTGTCATTGTTTTGATCCACTTTGGTAAATATTTGTTTTCATACATCGAGTATATAGTGACATAAATACGGCCAAGTTTGTCGGCCTTTTTATTCTCGCCCAATAGGTTCTAACATCGTTAATTGCAAAAAAAAAACTTGCGTGCCATAGAGACTACCTATAGTACCACCAAAAAGACCACTATTTATTCCATTCGCTAGTTTCAACGATTTCATTGGTGGAGAATGGCATATTTTGCTTGGGAGGGTCAGTACACTAGGATACATAATTTGGAACGGTGAATTTTTCATCACTTGTATTTTGCATAATATAGAAAGTATTTTTGTATACTTGAACGTCAAAAGTAGTAAGTTAGAGGGGATTAAAAATGAACGAAACTCTATATAAGAAGAAGGAAAAATTAAAACATTAAATATAATTCTGTGCGCAAAGTTTTATTGATGCATAATCTGCATAATCATAACAAAAGTTTAGAACGTGTGAACTTTGTTCTAAATTGTAATTGATTTATGTCATTGTTCTTTAAGTTTATTATAAATCTATTATTGAACTCTTTCTTTTGTTACTGCGAATACATGTATAACCCGTTTCTTATAGCAAGATTATTATGCTTTTGTTGATAGCTTTAAATATTTGGACGCGTTCATATTACGAGAAACTCTGCGTATTACACCAACATTAAGTGTTTAGGATCGATGACTTCATGCATTATCCAATATATTATTTCATTGGAACCTCTTCCAACTCCGTTCTTTCCAGCTTGCTGGTTTCCAAATTTTTTACTCCATAATAGTGTAATTTAATCCGAACTATAAATACTAGGATTTGATGTGAGGTCATTTATTTGTGATGATATCAGCTTGATCCATATTGAAACCTTCTTTTCCGAGATGAGATCACTAATGACTAATCTATCAAGTAGTGATAATGAAATCCGTAGATAACCATCTTGAGCGGAGGTTTATTCATCTCTAAACACCTAAAATTTGGATTATTAAGTCTGTGATAGTAATAAATTTTGTTTACTCAGATTCGTTCTCTTTAAGCCCCGGGATACAATAATACCTCCATGTATTACCATGGGACAGAAATGATTATACGGAGGAGGACTGTACCATAAAAAACCTGATGTAGTCGTCAGTCGCATCCCGTGTAATTACACTCTCTACAATGGCACTTTTCAGTTTAGGAAATTGACCTCCATATAGTCACAATCGCTAAAGTCACGCATGTTATATTTTAAATTCAAATATTAGAAAATCATCTGAGCTTATTTACAAGATTGGCGGTGGCACGATAGTTTATATGATGTGGGACGTGTTGTTTTTAAGAATAAAGAAATCCTATTAAATGAATTGGTATTTTTCTACAAATATCCATTGTATCAAAAGATTCATTATATTCTATATAAAGAACAGACGAACCTTTATTATAATTAAATATAATAATAAATATACTAAATATATTGTACTTTAATAATTTTGGGGGTTATAACAGATTTTAAATTCCTTTGTTATAATATACAATTGATTACAATAGATTTTTTATAATTAATTGAGTGGGAGTGACTATAAACAGGTATGATTATAAAGGGTTTTGACACAATAAATAAACTTCGTTTCAAGTTGTCATTCTTTTTCGAAGAACGCTAACTTTTAACATTTTTCCGAGTACAATGGAATGTCAACATATAGATGATCAATTTAGTCTCGTCGCGTGGCGTACGTACATAACAAGAAACTCGAGATGCTGTTGTACAACATTAATTGCACTTTTGTATATATAATCTCTCGAAGAAGAATCCCATGTGTTAGGCATAGTTAAACGAACCTGATACCTATATTTATAATAGTAACTATAATGGCAACTACCACACCTGCCGCCGATGCTGGCTCGAAAAATTGGCTCAAAGAGAGGGCTGCCATTTGTAAGTTCCACCACACAAGCATAATACGATTAGTTTAAATGTATATATGTATAGTTTTTCCTATCATTAAATTTGGTCCTTTACAAAGTGTTTATACGTGAACGCGAAACCTTTCTTTGATATTGAATTCTTCACGTGCTTTTTTGTACGAATGTATATCATTACATAGCCGCCGCTCATAGACGACAAAAGACTGACCCTGCAGCTGCTCGTCTTATCGAGAAAGCAGATCAATTACATAAAGAACGTACGCAACGACATTTACGAGAAGCAGACGAGAAGAATGAAACAGGAAGAGTTCCAGTGGAAGATATCATTGAAGAAGGTGATTATTTTTTGTATACATTTAAATTAATTCCTTTCCAATATTGATCTTTACTCTTCTTAGTACGCGTAAAACTCACCTGATTTTTAATTTTCTGAAAAAATTGGGAATTTAGAAGCCGATGGTGACGATATTGACGCGATTGTTAACGTACCTCCTCCGGATGAAATAATTGTTAAAGGTAAAAAAAAAATTGATTAATGAGGTGGCTTTCTTGGAACAATATCTTTCTCACTTGTCTTTTCTAAAAAGTCGCACCAAAAGCTACCGTTGATGTGAGTTCCGGTAAGTCAGGACACGGTAAAGAGGCCACCGAAGAAGTATACCGATCTTTTGCCGAGACCGTTATTGAAAGCACATTAACAACTGATTCATCACTTGAGCTTTCATTTGATCTAAAGCCAGAAGATATAGTGAAAGATGAGACAGAAGAGGAGGAGGAGGAGGAGGAGGAGGAGGAGGAGGAGGAGGAGGAGGGGGAGGAAGGAGAAGAAAGAGAAGAAGGTATTTGGATTATTAATATTAGCTATGAAACATCTATCTTTATAGAAGCTTAATTATTTCTTGTAATAAGGTGAGGATCGCAACGAGGAAGGTAAAGATCAAATAGAACTTCAAAATAATGAGGATATATCGGATTCTGTCGAAACTACGAATGAAGGTATTATATTCAAATGACTTACTATGCTTTTCAACCACTTTTTTTCCAAATAATCTCTGCTACTTTTCATCCAATTTTTATGTCTTGTTTTTTCTTCCCGATTAAAAGATGCAAAGAGTAAAAAACTCGATCCATCTTCGTTGCCAGATGATGAAACGGCTGTTAAAGAATAATGTCAGAGGGTGGAATCATTTTAATTTGCGATTATTCATTTTTTAATATTGGTTTTTTGTAAAGTTTTCTGATCGTTCGTTAGAACAATACGTTGACCATTTGTTTATTTATAATAGCTTGTGTTCTCTCGTTTTATTTTTATATCTTGCCCCCTTATCGGTAGTCTTCTTTGATTTTTGATCATTAATTTTTTGATCTTTCAGCTCAACTAGCTCTTTACCATTTGACGACGCTCTTTCTTTAGTAATGTATCATTAATTAGTAATCTTGCAACAAGGTTATTTTTAATGAAAATATTTACGTATTTAAAATCATGACAAAGGCAGCTATTCAAGCGAAAGACGAGATGATCTTTTTTTTGCATCTTTCAATTATAATATGGCATGATATGTTTAAAGAATCATGTTGAGACCATAGAAAATAAAGAGGTACGTACAACATTCATTGTAGGTGACATTGTAAGCGGATTCGGAATCCCTTCTGTGTGATTTAGAATTTTTCGGCCAGCACTATTTTATCATTAGAGCTAACACTTGCCCTCACTCTAATTCTAGTCATAATTTGGGTTAATCCATTCTCCACATACGTGGATACCGTTCTTTCTTTCGCGTTATAAGAACAAAATTCATCGCATTGGGAATACAAAAAGATCGATTTTTATTTATAATTGTCATTCATCGCATTGGGAATATAAAAAGATCGATTTTTATTATAATTGTCATTAATAAAAACTATATATATAATAAATCCAAAGAAAAAAATTATTGTAATTTTTAATTATAAATGAATATTATTAATTGTCCAACGAGACAAATAACCAGAGAAAATCAGACTTTTGATTATGTACGCATCCCTTATTAAAGGCCAATTTCCTTACACACTCACAATTTATCAGTACAATAATTACTTCATTCAATATATATATATATATATAATCCATCCCAGATTGTATGAGATTATTTTATCACTCTGAACCATTCAATATA